TTTTCCTGTAGGGAAGACAGATTTCCACACCCAATTGAGTGTGTATGTTATTCCCTCTTTAAGTCAAATCCAATGAGAATAAGATTCACTCATTCCCTCTCACCTTCCCCCATTTCCCTTTCACTGTAAGAGCCTTTTCTTTTCTGTTTTTTTTTTTTGTGAGATAATCTACCCCGTTCTACCTTTCCCTTTCTCCTTCTCCTAGTATGATTCTCTCTCACCCCTTAATTTTATTCTCCAGATATAACACCTTCATTTTCAACTCACCCTGTACCCTCTATCTATCTATCTATCTATCTATCTATCTATCTATCTTTATCTATACATACATACATATAATTTTTCCCCTCCAACTACCCTAATACTGACAAAGGTCTCATGAGTTACAAATATCATCTTTCCATGCAGGAATGTAAATAGTTCAACCTTAATAAGCCTCTTGTGATTTTCTCTTTCCTGTTTACTTCTTCATGTTCCACTTGAGTCTTGTATTTGAAAATCAAATTTTCTATTCAGCTCTGGTCTTTTCATCAAGAATGCTTGAAAGTCCTCTATTTCACTGAATGACCATTTTTTCCCCTGCAAGGACTATACTCAGTTTTGCTGGGTAGGTGATTCTTGGTTGTAATCCTATCTCCTTTGCCCTCTGGAATATTATATGCCATGCCCTGCAGTCCCTTAATGTAGAAGCAGCTAGATCTTGTGCTATCCTGATTGTGTTTCCATAATACTTGAATTGTTTCTTTCTGGCTGCTTGCAATATTTTCTCCTTGACCTGGGAACTCTGGAATTTGGCTACAATATTCCTAGAAGTTTTCCTTTGGGGATCTCTTTCAGGAGGAGATCCTGATTCTTTCAATTTCTATTTTGCCCTCTGGTTCTAAAATGTTTGGACAGTTTTCCTGGATAGTTTCTTGAAAAATTATGTCTAGGCTCTTTTTTTGATCATGGTTTTCAGATAGTCCAGTAATTTTAAAATTCTCTCTTCTGGATCTATTTTCCAGGTCAGTTGTTTTTCCAATGAGATATTTCACATTGTTTTCTAATTTTTCATTCTTTTGGATTTGTTTTACAGCGTCTTGATTTGTCATAAAGTCACTAGCTTCCAATTGCTCTATTCTAATTTTTAAAGAAGTATTTTCTTCAGTAATCTTTTGGACTTCCTTTTCCATTTGGCCAATTTTGCTTTTTAGGGCATTCTTCTCCTCCATTGGCTTTTTGGATCTCTTTTGCTATTTTTTAAGGTGTTATTTTCTTCAGTATTTTTTTGGGTCTCCTTTAGCAAGCTGTTGACTTGTATTTCATGATTTTCTTGCATCACTCTTAGTTTTTCCTCTACTTCTCTTACTTGCTTCTCAAAATCCCTTTTGAGCTCCTCCAAGGCCTGGGACTGATTCGTATTTTTCTTGGAGACTTTGGATGTAGGAGCTTTGACTTCATTGTCTTCTTCTGGTTGCATGTTTTGATCTTCTTTGTCACCAAAGTAAGATAATATAGTCTGACTCTTTTTGCACTGCTTACTCATGATCCTGGCCAATTACTTGAGTTTTAATCTTTTTGTTAAGGTAGAGGTCTGCTTCCAATGTGGAGAATGTACTATCCCAAGCTTCGAGGGTTTGTACAGCTGTTTTCAGAGATACTTCTAGAGACCTGAAAATTTTCAGTTCTTCCAAAGTGCTATGATAAGGGGTGAGGTGTTTTCTTTCCACTGCCACTTCTCTCATTTCTAAGCCCTTTACAAACTGTCTTCCATCCTCATCATCCATTTGAAACAGCTCTCGCCATAGTCACCATTGACTTCTTAATTCCCAGATGTGATGGCTTTTTCTCAATCCTAGTTGTCTTGACCTCTCTCTCCAACATTTGATGCCATTCATCTCCTTCTCTTTCTGCATACTTTCTTGTCTCTGTTGGTTCTCCTCCTATCTGTCCAATTGTTCCTTTTCCATCTCCTTTACCCATTCAACTGTATTTTGCCCCCAACTGTAGCTGTGACTCCAGACCCTGTCTAAGGCCTTCTTCTAATTCTGTCTCAACACTCTGTCACTTCACATGAGATTAATTAGCAAATCCATGCAGATGACTCCCAAATATTCACCCTTTCTCTCTCCTGAGCTCTAATCCTACATCACCAATTGTCAATTGCACATTTTAAACTAAATGTCCCAGAGGTATCTCAAAACAAATGCGTCCAAAGCAGAATTCATAATCTTTTCCCCAAAACCTACTCTTTTTCTGGACTTCCTCATTTCTATTGTGAGCACCACCTTTCTTATAGTCACACAGGTTTGCTACTTTGGCATGACCTTTGACTCCTCACTCTCCCTCATCCCCTACATCCAATCAGTTGCCAAATCTTTTCTACCTTCTACCTTTTCTACCAAACCTTTTCTACCTACAAAATATCTCTCACATATGCCCCTTTCTCACAACTCATCAAGTCATCATACTATTTCAATCTTTTATCACTTTTCACCTATACTATTGCAATAGCCTTTTTGGTTTCCTTGCTTCAACTCTTGAATCTATATTCCAAATAAATAAGCTTAGGTTACTCCCTTAAGTCCAGGTCTTACCATGTCGCTTCTCTCATCAATAAACTCCAGTGGTATCCTATTGTGCCTACATTGAAATATAATCTTTTCTGTTTATCATTTAAAGCTCTTCACAATCTGGCCCCAAACTATCATTCCAGCCTTATCATAAAAGATTTCCCTCTCTGCACTCTATGGTTGACCCAAGTTGACCTTCTTACTGTTCCTCACTTTTGCTACTAAATCTCCCATCTCCAAGTCTTTGCACTAGCCATTCACCATGTCTGGAACATACTTTCTACTCACTTCTGCCTCATCCTTTCCTTCCATCAAAACTCAGCTCAACCTTCAACATGGAGCCTTTTCTGATGCCCAATTGCTGGTCAATGCCCTCTCCAAACTACTTTGTATTTATTTTATATTTATTCTGCACACATCTATATCTATATCTATGTCTATACATATACATATATATATATATATATGTTTTCTCCAATTGAATGTAAGCTGCTTGAAGGCAGGAATGACTTTATGTTTGTTTTTGTATCTCCAGTGTCTAGCACAATACATACTTACTTAGAATGCTAGGTCTGGAATCATGAAGACCTGAGTTCAAATCCAACCTCAGACACTTACTATTTGTGTGACATTGGGCAAGTCACTTAACCTAACCTCTGTTTGTCTCAGTTTTCTCATCTATAAAATGAGAATAAAAACAGCATCTACCTCACAAGGCTGTTGTAAGTATAAAATGAAATATTTATAAATCACTTAGCATGGTTCCTGGTCACATGTTGCTGTTGTTGTTCATCCAGTCATATCCGACTCTTTGTGACCCCATGGATCACAACACACCAGGCCCTCCTACCACTATCTCCCAAAGTCTGTCCAAGCTCATGTTCATTGTTTCCACCTCATGCTCTGCTGTGCCTTCTCATTTTGCCTTTAATCTTTCTCTTCATCAGGGTCTTTTCCAATGAGTCCTGTCTTCTCATTATGTGACCAAAGTATTTAAGCTTTAGCTTCAGTGTTTGTCCTTCCAATCAACAGTATGAATTAATTTCCTTAAGTATTAATTGATTTGATCTCCTTGCTGCCCAAAGGGTCTCTAAAGTCTAGCACATAGTAGGCATTATGTTCTGTCCTCCCATTATTGATTATTTGGTTGATTGATGGCAGTAGGGACAGATTAAGAAGTAAATTCTCTGGAAGAGAGGCTGTCCTTGGTTAGGGAAGTGTTTATAGGTAAAATTTCCTGAGGAAATGACACTGGGATTTCTCCCCCTAAAATGGCTGGATTTAGTTAGATGAACTGGGTTTGAATGCTCAGTAAGTTCTTGTTGCTGTCTATTACCTCTAGGATCAAATGCAAACTCCTCTAAGTAGCATTTAAAAACCTGTGTGTGTGTGTGTGTTTGTGTGTGTGTGTGTGCCTGTACACATTGCTTACCCAATGAAATATAAGTTTATGGCAATCAGAAACAATTTCTCTTTCATTTTGTATACCCAGCACCTAGTACAGTGTCTGTCATTTATTAGATGAAGGTGTCAGAACCTGGGGCCCATGAACTTTTCTTGAATATTTTGATAATTTTCTTTTGACATAATTCATTTCTTTTGTAATCCTATGTATTTTATTTTCTGCATTTAAAAACATTCTGAGAAGGGGTCCAGAGACTCGCCATACTAGACTGCTAAATGGATCCATGAACACATAAAAGGATAATAATTAATATTAGTAATAATAATAATAATAATACCTAGCATTTATGTAGCCCTTCAAGTTTTAAAGAGTATTTTACCTGTTATGTGTTACCTCATTCAATCTTCACTAATACCCTGTGAGGCAGGTATTATTATTTCTACTTTACAGATGAGGAAACTGAGGCTGGCAGAGGTTAAATAACTTGCCAATTAACAATTAATCAGGGATTTGAACCCAGATCATCCTAAGAATCCCTGTACCAGTTACCTAACAAATATTTGTTGATTGATTGAACTATTGAATGGATTCCACTTCAGCTATTTACTACACGGGTGACTTTGGGCAAGTTATTAAATTCCTATGCCTCAGCAAAACATGAGGATTGGGCCTGATGACAGCTAGGGTTGCTTCTACTTTTCAATCCTATGAATGAGTAAGAATCCACTGGAAAGGCTGAACACTGACTGCAGGTTCTGAGGGTCATTCAGGAACTAAACAGTGTAATCACTGGGGGAGAGCGAAAGGGGTCATATATTGACTAGGTGGAGATGTTGGGGAGGGAAAAGGTGCTGAGAAGTGACTTTGGTGTCAAAGACAAAAGACAACAATAAAACAGTTTTAGAAGGAAAAAAAGCAAATTTAAAAAAAAAAGACTAGAGTTGAGTCTTGGACCAACATCACCCCCTAGTGGCAGAAAGAATAACTACTCAGTATCATTGTCCATCATATCTCAGCATTTCATGTGCAGCTCCCCTGATGTTTCAAGTCACTGTGTCATTCACAGCACAGAAGTAAACAGCCACATCGCTCACTTCGACAGATGATTTCCTCAGGTTGAAGGATTTATTGGTCTTGTTAAATTCTGCTTCAAAACCTTTGCTACCTCTAACCAGAGTGTTTCCTGAGAGATATTTCAGGAGCATCTCGAGGCTTTGTTTGGGATACTGAACATACCAGTAGAATGTAGGGCTCCCTGTATATGAGGCAGTACATCTCAGCTCCAGGGGGTCCCGTTCATGTATGGTGACCTGATCTTCAGGCTGGCTCACGGTTTGTGCTCTTGTTCCTCCTGTGACATCAAGGCAATACTCAATAAATTGGCACAGACCCATCTGCTGAAGACAGTTCTATTTGTAAGTGGATTTTTACAGAGATAACAGTGAATCAATAGCAGTGAAATAAAATGTTACTCACTCATTGAGAAGAGCATCAAAGTCACTAAGACAGAAGCCAAAGTCATGGTTGAGCAGTGGGGATACTGAGGCTCCTGCATCAGCCAGAGGTCACTTAGAAATTCTGAATCTGGAGAAATTGGGCCCTGGAAGAAAGAAAAGACTGATTCTCTGGGGCTCCTTGTGTTATCACAGTACAAGGAACCACATGCAAGTGGCCCTACTTCAAAAAGCCTGGTTGCTTTCTGGCTTCTGATTCCTCTCAGTAGTCACCATGGTAGTAGTAGTAACAGTCTTTGTCTGGGCACTGGGATGAAATAAGAGAGGCAGGCTTCTACCGAGTGAGCATTCTGTGACGGATGTCTCATCATAGTCATTCAGCTAGAACAGCTCTGCCCTCTAGAGGCCATACACAGAAATTCAGTCAATTCCCTGAGGGTTCTAGACCATGTTACCCAAATCTTTCCATTAGAGTCATCAGATTGTATTTTATATACGTGGATTTCACATAATCCTAAACCCAGTTCTCATGGTAACCTTGAAGATAAACTCACCAATATTTTAGCCATCCTTCAATCAACCAATCAAATAACAAGTATTTAACTAATACCTGTTAATGGGCCAAGTATCATATGATACACTACGGATTCAAATGTTTATAGCAGCTCTCTTTGTAGTAGCAAAGAACTGGGAAATTACAGGAATGTCCATCAACTGTGAAATGACTGAACAAGTTGTGGGATATGATTGTGATGGAATACTACTGTGCTATAAGAAATGATGAACTTAATGACTTTAAAAAGGCATGGAAAGACTTATTTGAAGTAATGAAGAGTGAAATGAACAGAGCCAAGAGAACACTGTATATAGTAACAACAATATTATTTGAAGAATGACTTTGAGTGAATAAGCCATTTTGACTAATATAAATACCCAGATTAACTATAAAGGACGTATTAAGAAAGATGCTATCTGTAACCAGAGAAAGAACTGATAAATATAAGTATGTACAGAATATGTGTGTGTGTGTGTGTGTGTGTATGTGTGTAATGGGAGCCATCTCTGAGATGGGGGGAGGGTGGGAGGGAAGAACAAAAAGAAGGGGAAGAAAATTTACACGATAACTTTGCTATGTATTTAAAAGGAATAGTAAGTTGCGCATAGTGAATTTGCAGCTTCACGTGCAGTCATCTTTTTATTGTACTATGGTATGGAAATGCTTGTTTTATTCCATAAATTAAAAAATTAACTAATTAATTTGAAAAAGAAAACATGTCAGATATTTAAACGCGACATACTTCTTTAAAAAAAAAAGAATGAACCAATCCCTACTCACAAGGAGCTTACATTCTAAAATGTGAGACAAGTACATGCAAAAAATATATATATAGCATAAACATAGTTAATAAATACATACATATATGTATATGTTACACAGAGACAAGAGATGGTATTCACAATAGAAAGAAAGCCAATTTGGATGGATCATAGAGTATAATAAGGACAGTAACATCCAGTAAGGTTAGAAAGATAGGCTGGGGCCAAATTGCACAGGACTTCAAAAGACAAAGGAGTTTATATTTGGCCCTCGAATAGGATCCAAGAATTTAATCCTAGAATAGGAAGCCTTTGGAGTTGGTTGCATAGGGAAATTGCAGGGTCAAATCTGTGCCTAAGAAAAATTATTTTGGTAGCAATATGTAGTATGGACTGAAATAGTGAGAGATTTGAGACAGAGAAAACAATTGTAATAACCAAAGCTTGGGGCCTGAACTAACATGTAACTGTGTAACTGGAGAAAAGGGATTGAATACATGAGAAGTTGTGAAGATAGAAACCTTGTTCCAGCCTTATGGAGAAGAGAGGCACAAGCAGCGGATAGAAAACTGGCCTTGAAGGCAGGAAGACCTAAGTTCAAGTCTCTCCTCTGACACATGCTGGGTGTATAACCCTGAAAAAATCAATTAAACACAGACACACATTCTATACACAACTTTTTGAAACTATCAGCTGCAGATAAAATATAGCCCTCTTTTGGTGGAAGGAATTTCTTCTTGTGGGCATTCCCTATCAAGCACTGATCTAGTCCCTATCCCTATAAAGATTATATATCTGTGGTATACAAACACAATTAGCCTGAAGAATTCAGGACCTACTGCTTAGGTCATATTTACAGTTTCATTAAAATATTTGTCTATCATATGATTTAACCAGAATGATGAGATAAATGAGAACACTAGAGACCATTCTGTGTAAGGGGTGTAAAAAGACCTGATGAAATTGAGCTTGAAAATCCTTCCATCACCCATAGAGAAGTGAGTCATTTTTTTTCCCATGCAGTGTACTATGAAGTATTTGGGGTGTCAAGCATACCAAAACTAGTATGAAACTTTTCCTATTAATTTAATAAATTAGCATTTCTTTGCAGCAGAATTTCTTAGTCATGTTATGTATTAATCATACTCTAAGAAAATGCATACAGGCACTAAGGTCATGTGTCTTAGAGTTGGTGTTAATTAGTGAGCCTCCCTTTTGCTAGTCATTATATCATACCTAATATGCTCCATGATTACAGGTTTGGTAGATTTTTGTGAGCAGTTTTCTCTCTTCCTCCTTTTAGTTTAAAATTCTCTTCATTAGATTTGCCAGGCTCCAGGCAAACGATTTTTTCTTTGTAGGGGGTATTTTATCCACAGTCAAAAGTCCAGCATTCTTATATATGTAAGGAAGCCAAATCTCATGCTCTGGCACTCTTTTTCACTAGCTGTTCATTTTTCAAGTCTGTTTTACCATCGATTGGCACTAATGATGGAAACACCCATACGCTTGGTACATCCTCAGTTTCTTTCTCAGGACTTCATAATACTTAACAATCTCTCTAAATTCTTCCTTGTAATGTAATTCATGCCCATGTTAATCAACAAAAGTGGATAGTGGTCATTAATTTTGACAAGTCTCAGGAGGCTCTCTGCCATGTGCCAGGTGTTGGCCTTGGTAAGACAGCACTGTCTCTATTGTTTGTCAAGCCAAAAAAAAAAACCAACCACCTTGGTACAACAAAATAGAGAGTCATTATCTACCACCATTTGACTCTATCTCCACTGCTCATTACTGTATGACATCCAACATTTGCATGTTGGGTCCATATCATCATGTTGAGAACACAACTAACTGCTCTCCTCTAAGGTGGTAAGGTTCCTTCATCAATAACAAATGCCTCAAACTTATTATATAGCTTCAAATGTTTAGCTGTCTTTCTTATTTTCCTTCTCTGTTTCACATTCTATGAACCTCCAACATTTTTCATAATATTTTTGTCTTCTCTAGTTATTTCTTGCCTGTATAAGATTAAATGAGTTTCATATTTCCTTTGTTCTAAAACTAAACATTTTTCAAAAATACTGAAGTCTGCCAGAGCTATTTGGCATTTTCTAAATAAATTTTAATTAGAAACTGACCATTATGTCCCTCTCTTCTCTGGATGCCATATTGTTGATCAACCTGGCTTTTTTATCTTTCCCTATGAATTTAGGCTCAATTTGGAAACAGAACGTGGAATAGCTTTAAACTCACTAATCATTCCTAAAGTTGACAAGGCAACAACTCTATCCAATGTGAAACCATCTTGGAACAGTCACAGCTTATCTTTCTTCATTTTTCCCAGGCTATCTAAGTGTGTTTAGCATCTCTGACAGTCCCTGTCATGAGTCTCTCACAGCAGAATATCGCCCATCCTCCTCAGCCTCTTGTACTTGGTGGATGAGCAGATAAGAACCACCCTGCTCTCATTCTGCATTGTTCCTCCTAGGTGGAATCTGCACCAGAAATAATGATTCTTTAACTATAATAGATTGTGGGTTGTGAATATACTAGAAGAAGCATGTTCTTCCAGTCACAGAGTAATTGCAGAGTATTTTCACCAAAATCCTTTCAATGAGCACTAAGGTTCAGGACAAAGAGACTCTGTTCTGGCTCTCTGTAGCTGTAAAAGAGCATAGAAAAATAAATTCTGTATTCTTCTATGTCCTGGTAACTCAAGATAAAGAATATTAAGTTAAAATACAACCCAGAGAACTTCAATCTCCCTAGTCAGTAAAATTCTTTTCTCTAATTGGAGGAACCTAGAGAGAAACTCAGAAGAACCCCCATAGCACAGTCTTCCACATGTCATGTTTGGCTGTGATGGAGGAAGGATGATGGATTTCATTCCCAGCACCTGAGTGTGATGTGCAGCCAAAATCTATCTCAGTGGGAAAATCTACATATATTCCAGCCTCTTACCTAGTTTTGTTTACTGTCTGTACAAAGGACTCAGCCATCAAAACATTGATTAAAGGAGCAAAGGACGGTAATGAAGCAGATGAGTTCTACTTGTGGGCCTTTGTAAAAAGATGCTAGAATATTTATCTCATACATGGACCTGTGCTTGCCCATTTTGTCCTAGGAATACCTATGTATCAAGGGGTTACATGGGGGTGGGAGGCAAGGATTAGTATGTAAGAGGATGGAGTAAACTGAGTGTGGTACAGTGGTAAGAAAGCATGTCTTCAAATTCAGAATCCAGAAAACCTGTGCTTGAATTGCAGTTCTGCCACTGTGAAGTTGTAAGGCCTTAAGGAAATCATTTCACCTCGATTTTTTTCATCTGCAAAATGGAGGTGACAAAAAACCAATTCACTTATGCCACATTTTAAGGTTCACAAGGTGATTTCCTCTCCATCTTCCCCCCATCAAAAAAAAAGAACCTGTGGTCTAGGGAATGTATTATAACGTTCATATCAGGAAACTGAGGTTCAAAAAGATATTTGTGGTTTACAAAGTTGTTTCCTTTCAAAAATCCTGTGAATCAAGGAATATATGCATGTGTATATGTATGTGTGTATATACACATATATGTATGTATGTGTGTATATGTGTATGTGTGAATATGTGTGTGTGTTCCCATTGTATAGATGGGGAAATAAGCTTAAGAGATCTTACCCAAAATAAACATCAAAACCAAATTCAGATCTGATTGCAAAACAAGACTCTTTCTACTATACCACCTTCCCTGTTAGCTTCCAAGATCAAGGAAGATAATATATGAGGAAGTGCTTTGAAAAGTATAGAATATCACACAAATGCCTCTTTATCTATTTCTCATTCATATTTCTATATCTTAGAGAAATATCTTTATTTTACCCTCTCAATTAACATCTCTCTGTAGTTCAAAATGTAGAATGAAAGAAATTGAGGAAAATGATGAGCAGGAGAGTGGAATTTATAAAAATACAAATGACCACTGAGGGAATGGGGGTATTAGAACAGGAAGTGGTAGTGTAAGTTGGGTAAACCACACTGGCTCTATCCTATGGCTCAGTTCTGGAGCTAGCTCAATTCCCTTTCTATTCAATTATGTGTCCAGTCCAACTTTTATCTTGTGAGAAAATTTTATTCAGTTGAGGTAATTGGGAAAAAATCTTATTGCACTATTGGAACCTAGCCCTGGCTGAGAATTTGGACCACCTGTACCTGCTGCTTAGACTCTTAACAAAAAACCTAGGTTATATTCACCAGAAACCCAGCCATATCCTAAGATTGCTGCAAGGAGTTTTCTCACAATTGTACATCTCAAGCAACCCATATGTTTTACCTGAAAACTGTCCCCATACTGATCAATCAGTTATTGTTTCCATGTTCCTTTGATTGTTTACAGACACCTGTGAGGAGTGGAACACCTCTTTTCCTAAATTCAGGAAATTGTACCTTTTTAGTCTCCCCCTCCAAAATAGAAAAGTCCCTAATCTTTCATCCAATTAGAAATCAGATTATCTAATATTGTATTGTTTCCTCTTAATTAATTGGTCTTGCTTGATTAATAGCTTCGAATGTATAAAAATCTGTCTCCCCCTGTATTCAGGGTATAGTTCTAAGCTGAGGAAGGGGCCTGGTCCTGATTTGTTAGGCAATTGGTATGCATTGATTAATAAATCTAAATGCTCGGACGCTTGAACCTTTGTTTCCTCATTCATTCCATCTTTCATCCAGCACACCACTTTGTACAGTCAACCTTTTTAACAAAATATGATGAACAGGTGTAATCAGAGATGTTTAAAGTTCCGTGATAGTCTAGAGCTACAAACCATCGAGATATCACATAAAGCTAATTGAAATCAAATGTAGGAATTGAAGCCAGGTCTTTCCTGACTCCAAGTTGAGCACTTCTTCCATTATATACATACACAGATGAACAGACAGGTGGACAGACGGCCACAGTGATAGATAGATAGATAGATAGATAGATAGATAGATAGATAGATAGATAGATAGATAGATA